TCTTATTATTGATGTAACACCCTCTAATGGTAATCTAGGCATGTCTGATCATAACTGATTTAGCAACCCCTATTCAACACTGATGTACGCATGTCATGTCATTGATATGGTAATCTAGGCATGTCTTATTATTGATCTTACACCCTCCGATGGTAATCTAGGCATGTCTGATCATATTTGATTTAGCAATCCCTATCACTGATCTACGTATGCCATGTCATTGATCTAACAACCCTCCAATGGTAATCTAGGCATGTCATATCATTGATCTAACACCCTCCAATGGTAATCGAGGCATGTCTTATTATTTATCTAGCACCCTCTAATGCTAATCTAGGCATGTCTGATTATAATTGATTTAGCAACCCCAAACACTGATCTACGCATGTCATTTCATTGATCTAACACCCCCTACTGGTAATATAGGCATGTCTTATTATTGATCTAACACCCTCCAAAGGTAATTTAGGCATGCCTGATCATAATTGATTTAGCAATCCCAAACACTGATCTACGTATGTCATTACATTGATATAACAACCCTCCAATGTTAATATAGGCATGTCATACCATTGATCTAACACCCTCCAATGGTAATCTAAGCATGTCTGATCGTAACTGATTTAGCAACCCCTAACACTGATCTACGTATGTCATTTCATTGATCTGACAACCCTCCAATGGTAATATAAGCATGTCATACCATTGATCTAACACCCTCCAATGGTAATCTGAGCATGTCTGATCGTAACTGATTTTGCAACCCCTAACACTGATGTACGCATGTCATTTCATTGGTCTAACACCCTCTACTGGTTATATAGGCATGTTTTATTATTGATCTAACACCCTCTAATGGTAATCTAGGCATGTCTGATCGTAACTGATTTAGCAACCCCAAACACTGATGTACGCATGTCGTTTAATTGATCTAACACCCTTTACTGGTAATATAGGCATGTCTTATTATTGATCTAACACCCTCTAATGATAATCTACGCATGTCTGATCATTGACTGATTTAGCAACCCCTATTAAACACTGATGTACGCATGTCATTTCATTGATCTAAAACCCTCCAATCATGATCAGATATGCCTAGATTACCATTGGAAGGTTGTTAGATCAACGATATGACATACAATAACATTTTCGATAATACGTCATGAATACATTCTTGGTCTGGGAGCCTTGCTCTCGTCAATCAAGACGGAAGGCGATTGACTCACGATTCATGAGAATGAAGCTCCCAGACCAATAACGTACTCGTGATGTAATTATCGAAAATATGTATTAGTGGATGTTAGTGTATTAATGAAAACGTAGACAAGTGGTAGAGAGTATTTTAAGTAACGAAAGCTTTTTGCCATTGATATGAAATACCAAAATCAGCATAAATTAAACAGTTTAGGATTAATAGATCATGTATATGACATTCCTAAATCAATGTTAATTAAAGAATGTTAGATCATATATTAAATGCCTAGACAAATGTCAAAGTTTGCTAGATCACTATTACTATTAGGTCCTTGCAAAGTTTGAACTTTAGAAAATAGATAATAAGCGACTACAATAAAACGTATATTGTACAATTTTTTTAACAGTGTATAGGAAAATCTATTTACATTACTACTCCAAACTTAAGCTACTTAACTAAGCATTCCCGGAGCTTTTTCATTGGCTTGCCTATTTCCTAGTGGAAGGTTGTAACTTGTCTGGCCTAAGGTTTCAGTCAGTGTGAAATACATGAGACCATGCATTGTACGAATGTTTTTCCAGTAAAGTCACTTGTTTGGAATGCAGGACTTTGTAACCTTCAGTTAGTAGGACTAAGGTCCAACCAGTAATCTTTGTAAGTGGTCCTGTTTGCTGTATTTAAGTTGGCTTAGTGATAGCATAGAATAACCAAAACCTTTCTTCTGCTTCGGTATAAACGGGCAAAATTAAAGTTTTTTCCTCCTGGCTGTGCTTCATGTTTTTGCCAACAGCCATGATTCGAGGTCATCTGATGAACTCTTGAACACTTGCTTCTCATCTTCACCTGTGAGCTTCCATGCTGCAGAAGCCAACTGTTTTTTCTCAATCAACATCAAATCTTTGCACTCATCTAAAGGACATTATAAAAATAAGATTCTGGGTGATTCATCAATATTGTTCTGGGAATGAGAATTTGTGGAAACTTCCCAGGGGTGAAGTTTATAATATCCTCATAATAAAAACAGACAAAAAAGTTGAGGTCACCAAGCTCATTCTGACGATTTGACAAATGCAACATGCCAAATCCCCCCCCCCCCATATGGCACAATCTTGACCCTTTTATGAGTTATATGAACATTTATTGAATCTCAACCTTTATTGAATCTTATTAACAAGGATCCTATATATTTATATACAAGAAAACACAGTTTAGCAAAACAAAAAGCATTGACGTGCATTGTCATGGTGGCGACAAAAAAGCACGGCCAGAGACCTTCTTAAAGAAATAAAACATGCAACATGATGTGGTTTAGTGTTAATTGCACAGGAGCCCTAGCCAGAGTTCTATCATTTTTGAAGATATATTTCCTGAAGCACACAATATCAATGCAGAATGATTTTCTCTTTGCTCTTACTCTTACTTTATCACTTTGTTATTAGATATGTAGCATAAACGAGCAGAATACAAAACTGATGAATCACCACATGGTTATATGTCATGGCATTTTATTGCTTCACCAAGACAATGTTAGTAAGCCTAGGGTGAACCACTGAACCAGGTAGAGCTTTTTGCTATCCGACCAGAATATCCAGTCGGATATGTTTGATATATAAGCTAGGTTTGAGCTCTCAATTCATTTAAGGTAAAAGAATGGTTTCAATTGACTATAAAATGGCTCGATTGTTTATACTATTTTGACTCAAACACATGCCGGATATTTAATCAATCTTTTTATTCTAACATTTGCATGCTGTCTGTTTCATGACTGAAAGTGTCTGACTGTCTGGCAGCAGACAAAGTAACATATGACCATATGACTCAGTTCCAGCTGGAACTTTCTTCCAGTTCAGGCCAGATCCAGTTCCAGCCGGAACTTAAAAAAATGGTTTCTGGTGCACCCCTACAGGTCTAGCCTAGGAAGACGCTTGATCGTGTGTGCATGCCTATTAACTCATTAAGCCGCAATGCGTCCCAGTGCACCCTACTTTTTTTGCTTGTCGAATGCCAATGGGGAAGCTCTGCACTTCAAGGGGCTAACCAAAAAATCTGACAATGTCTCTAGCTATTATGCACCTATCAATGTTAACCCCCAGGGGGGGGAGGGGGGGTTCGGGCATATGTGGGGTATTTGATTATCAATTCCATCCTCACCCTGGGGATTTTGATTAGCATTTTGGCCCCGAGTTGGGGCAATTTGAACCGAATGATTGTTATTAACATAGTATTTATTGCAATTTATTGCAAGATGGTGGGGGCATTTGACCAATATTTATTGCCGAACGGTGGGGCATTTGATTGGAAATTTGCTAAAAAAATCAAATGCCCCACCTATGCCCAACCCCCCCCCCCCTCTGGGGCTTAACATTGATAGGTGCCCCATTGAGACGTAATGTGCCTCAGTGCCCCTATAGGTGCATTAAACCCATTGAGACGTAATGTGCCCAGTGCCCCTACTTTTTTTTACTTGTCTAACGCCAGACAATTTCACTCATCAATGGGGAAACATGCATGTTACAGTAAGTTCAGACTGTCAACTAGACATGTAATAACAATACACGAAGTAGAGTCTCGCTTAAGTAGGTGCATAGAAAATACAAAGTGACTATATGACCGGCAGCCGGTCACGGTTTATCAAATACTAAATGGCCGGCAGTCTAGTGACCATAGTTGAATATAAAAACTTTTGTTTGCGTTAACTTTTACCGAGCTTGCCGTTAGCTCATACGGCAAGGGCGCTGCGTGCGGAAAGTTAAGCGCAGTCGGGGTCGCGATGTGCTTTGTCTGACTTAGCATTGTTTTTCCTTAAAATTTTTTAAACTTTTTTTCCCGACTCTTCTAACTCTCAAAAGGTTAGGGTTAGGGGTTAGGGGTTAGGGTTAGAAAAGGGTTTGGGGTTGGGGATAGGTTTATCTTATAAAAATTAAACTTTAACAATAGTCACTAGACTGCCGGCCATTTAGTATTTTATAAACCGTGACCGGCTGCCGGTGTCACGGTCTCAGCACTCCCCCAGTCTGAGTTATCCGTTTTGATTATCTGCGCATGCGTGAAAAGAGCGGACCGCTGAGCACGTAGCTAGCTGGCCTGAACGCTCCCCCAGTCTGAGTTATCCCATTATCCCCACATATATTTCTGCTTTTTATCTTTGCTTATTTACAAAAAAAAACACTTTAAAAGCACTTTCTTGAAGGCACATTGTTAGATATGGTAAGGCTGTTAAATATCGTATTATTTCTTTATAAATATGATCACTTTTGTATATTTTTTAAAAGAGATAACTCAGACTGGGGAGTATCGAGACTGGTCTGAATGCTCCCCAGTCTGGGGTATCTCTTGTTATAATTTTTTAAAAGTGATAACTCAGGCTGGGGAGTATGAAGACTGGTTTGAATGCTCCCCAGTCTGGGGTATCTCTTGTTATAACTTTTTAAGAGAGATAACTCAGACTGGGGAGTATAGAGATTGGTCCGAATGCTCCCCAGTCTGGGGTATCTCTTGTTATAATTTTTTAAGGGAGATAACTCAGACTGGGGAGTATCGAGATTGGTCTGAATGCTCCCCAGTCTGGGGTATCTCTTGTTATAATTTTTTTAAAAGTGATAACTCAGACTGGGGAGTATGAAGACTGGTTTGAATGCTCCCCAGTCTGGGGTATCTCTTGTTATAACTTTTTAAGAGAGATAACTCAGACTGGGGAGTATCGAGACTGGTCTGAATGCTCCCCAGTCTGGGGTATCTCCTGATATAACTTTTTAAAAGAGATAACTCAGACTGGGGAGTATCGAGATTGGTCCGAATGCTCCCCAGTCTGGGGTATCTCTTGTTATAATTTTTTAAGGGAGATAACTCAGACTGGGGAGTATCGAGATTGGTCTGAATGCTCCCCAGTCTGGGGTATCTCTTGTTATAATTTTTTAAAAGTGATAACTCAGACTGGGAAGTATGAAGACTGGTTTGAATGCTCCCCAGTCTGGGGTATCTCTTGTTATAACTTTTTAAGAGAGATAACTCAGACTGGGGAGTATCGAGACTGGTCTGAATGCTCCCCAGTCTGGGGTATCTCTTGTTATAATTTTTTAAAAGTGATAACTCAGACTGGGGAGTATGAAGACTGGTTTGAATGCTCCCCAGTCTGGGGTATCTCTTGTTATAACTTTTTAAGAGAGATAACTCAGACTGGGGAGTATAGAGATTGGTCCGAATGCTCCCCAGTCTGGGGTATCTCTTGTTATAATTTTTTAAGGGAGATAACTCAGACTGGGGAGTATCGAGATTGGTCTGAATGCTCCCCAGTCTGGGGTATCTCTTGTTATAATTTTTTTAAAAGTGATAACTCAGACTGGGGAGTATGAAGACTGGTTTGAATGCTCCCCAGTCTGGGGTATCTCTTGTTATAACTTTTTAAGAGAGATAACTCAGACTGGGGAGTATCGAGACTGGTCTGAATGCTCCCCAGTCTGGGGTATCTCCTGATATAACTTTTTAAAAGAGATAACTCAGACTGGGGAGTATCGAGACTGGTCTGAATGCTCCCCAGTCTGGGGTATCTCCTGATATAACTTTTTAAGAGAGATAACTCAGACGGGGGAGTATCGAGACTGGTCTGAATGCTCCCCAGTCTGGGGTATCTCCTGATATAACTTTTTAAGAGAGATAACTCAGACGGGGGAGTATCGAGACTGGTCTGAATGCTCCCCAGTCTGGGGTATCTCCTGATATAACTTTTTAAGAGAGATAACTCAGACTGGGGAGTATAGAGACTGGTCTGAATGCTCCCCAGTCTGGGGTATCTCTTGTTATAACTTTTTAAGAGAGATAACTCAGACTGGGGAGTATCGAGACTGGTCTGAATGCTCCCCAGTCTGGGGTATCTCCTGATATAACTTTTTAAAAGAGATAACTCAGACTGGGGAGTATCGAGATTGGTCTGAATGCTCCCCAGTCTGGGGTATCTCTTGTTATAATTTTTTAAGGGAGATAACTCAGACTGGGGAGTATCGAGATTGGTCTGAATGCTCCCCAGTCTGGGGTATCTCCTGATATACAAAAATATTCCTTAATTTAACAAAATAATTATTAACAAAAATAATTGCTTCTGCCAGTAATATGGGATATTGGGAATGACTTCGTACACAATAGATTGTATGATAATCAGTGATAATTTCAAATTTAACAATACAAAAATATGAAAGTTTTCCAAAAAATAAAAAACACAATTAAAGAAATAACTTTCGTGAACTTTCTTACTATATAAAAACTATTTACAAAACTACTTTTCATTCCTATATCTTGTTGAATTATTTGCAGTTTATGCAATGGAAATTTGTTTGTTCGCCAACAGTCCTTGGAACTTTGTCACATGATCTGTGGAACCACTGCAAGCAGTTTGAGCACTCAATCATGAAGTCACCTTCTTTGTAAGGCATCCTACAATGGCAGAATAGCTCTTCTGTCACTTCAACGCTCTTGCTTCTTTTACATTTTACTTTTGACAGTGGAAATACAGCAATCTCTTCACAATGGAAGCATGTAGCTAAATGTACTCTCATTGCACTCTGATCATAGGCTTGTTGACATGGATCTTGCCCATTACAAAGAGCAAGTGCAATTGCCATAGCAAAAAGACCACAATCTGAATCGCCTTCTTGAATTTGGAGTGATGGCCACTCAATTACCATACTTTCCAAGCTGGTGTTAAGCAGTGCTGCCAGTTTAATTTTGTCAGTGTTTGACATTGATCGATAAAGTGTGTCGTACACTTTGATTCTGTTTTCTTCACATCCAATGTTTGTCACAGTAACCCAGTGGTTTCCTCCAATATTTACTATTTGGACAAAGTCTTTCAGCCCTTTCTCTACTTTGGGGGTTTTGCCTTCGAATGCAAGTACAGAATGAAAGCCTTTCATCTTTGGGAATTGTTTGGAAATTAGCCATTGTCCATGGTCCATATGCTCATCAGTTAGCCAGTAGTTTTTTTTCAATATTGTTGAAACCAGCTTTTCTGGGTTTGCATTTGCAGCACAATGCAGTATATTCCTCTTGCTTTTGCCAACTTTGTTCTTCCTTTTGACCTTGTTGGTAGTGGTGTCGACCGTGTTTGAATTGGTATTGTGAGGACTACCTTCTTTTGGACACCCCCGACAATGTAATACAGCTCATTATCTTTAAGAAATACATAAAAATATTTGATTTGGGAAAAATTATAGAGTGAGCAGTGAAATTTGTATAGATATTGTCTTACGAATGTGCACTATTAAACCCTCACCCCTAAACCTAACCATAAAACTGTAATTAAATCTTAGGCTTAATAGCCTTAGCTTGTCAGTACAAATCATACTGTGTTTATAGCTATTAAACATAATAGCTATATAATATGCTATAGCAAAATTTGCAATCAGTAACAACAAATTATACTGTGTTTATAGCTATCATACAATAGCTGTATATAAATAATTATGCGAAATGTATAGCCTACTGTGGCATTGTAGCACGTGCTAATGTGCAATCAATGTTTCGAAAGAGCGTTTGCATTGTTACGCGAATAATATAAACATTAGCTTTAACTTATAAAAAAATACAAAGTTATATTTACTTGCTTCATCCAAACTATACTTTTTTGCTTGGGCGCGAACTACCCGCTGCTGATTTTTAGTCAAGCCTTCGGGATGTTTTCCATGCTGAAGGTAGTGGACAATCCGCTCGCATTTTTCCTTTTGCTCAGCTATACGATCTTTTCTGCTTTTCTTCTCAGGTCGAGGTTCACTTTTAGGGTCTTGTTCTATCTCTGGCACCATTTTTAAACTTGTGACACGAAAATTTTGGTCTTCCGAACGCTGATAAAATGTTGTATTCGAAACGCTAGCTACAGAAGAAGGGGGGATAGCTCAGACCGCGAGGATTTGTTGACATCGATTGCCGCTGACGTGCGCATGCGCATAGTATCAGGGGAATGTTCAGACCGGGGGAGCAACCAGACTGCCACACCGGGGCTAAGGTTCGAGTGGAAATGCCCAACCCCCGGGATGTGCTTTACAGGAAAATGGCTGGGCGAGGGGGATGGGCACACTTGGATTTGGCTGATGCATTAAAAGTCCTGTGCTTATTCCAGACTGCTTGTCAAATATTTACTTGCTAGAAGTAGAAATTTACTCTGACCGCTGGATGAAGAAGACATTAAATAAGTACTGGTCAATAAACAGAAATGTATTTTATTTCATAGTATTACAATTTTATTTTTATACTATAAAAATAAAATATAAACATGCAGCATAGAATATGCAAATTCGAGGCAAAATTATTGTTGAATCGGTTTATTTATAGGATTTATAACAAATAGCAACTATAAAAGTTTGTACCTTGTCTTCACATCGTAATAGCCAATGCTTTTAATTTTACATATTTTAGAATCAGTTCCTTTCCTGGTAACTGCATTTCTAAATGAAATCATCGTGAGTAGTGAGTGCTGAGCAGGCTGTTTTACTATAAACAAATTTTAGGAATTGTTAACAACTTTGAAAAATATATCGTTACACATTCGGTCACAGTCGGAAAAATGTTCATAGTATGTTGTACCGTCGTTTGCAACTAACGATGAACAGTCGCTCATAAAAACATTCGCGTGATTAGAATCTTCAATGTTTGTCAAGAACAACAACACTTAATTGTTGTTTCCCATGTGTGCAATAAAAATAAGTAACAAAACTTTGTCTGAACTTGTTGGGCTAGAGACCTACTGGAAACTTTTACAGGCTTTTTAATGAGAATAGAGAATGTTTATCTGCAACTGTTCACCCTTAGTTGCCACCGACGGTATTTGATAACTGATATAAATAAAATACAGTCTGGTTATACTGACTTGAGCGTGTCATGACAAACTCTTTATTGGAAAATTGTGACGAAATAGTCGAATATAGAGGGTCGAATATCATACTTAAACTTGTATAGCTACAGTATCATTGGTACATAGCGTTGTGAATACAAGCCTTTGCTTTAATACCTTTCGCTTCAGCAGTCTTTTTTTTCCATGCTTCTCTACGCTTTCCCAGGCGAGCTTCTCTTTCCTCAGCAGTCTCCTCGAGCAAACGTTGTCGTCTTCGCTGGCTCCCTCCTTTTCGCGAGACGTTCGGCTTTCTTGTCGTTTCCTTGCCGCTCTTCATTTGGCTCCATACAGTAGTCCATATCTTTTCAATTGGTATTTGATACCATAATTGTTTTATTAAACTCTTTATAGAGCAAATTGCTTTGAAAGCTGTCAAAGTTTTTTGCAAACGTACAAAATACTGCAGTGCAAAAAGCAAATTATTTTCATGAAGTATCTGTCAGTTGAACTGTTGAAGTCGTCAGTTCATCTCTCAACAACAAATTTTAAATTTGACCAATCAGTGTTCGCTATTCACGACAGTCCGCTATATTTTGAGATCAGTGAGGATGACCACCAGTGATGACCACCCATGAACGGTGAACCATGCGCCCGCGATATTTGATGAACTTTAGACTCCGCTAATGCTTTCGTTTCCCCGGGTGTAAATAGCCGGGGGGAATTAGTACCCTCGCACGGCGCTTCGCGCCGCCGGCTCGGGGAAAATATATATCCGCAATTGATGTGCCGCACTCTTTACACATTTACAATCAACGCCAAGTCAATTAGTCAAACACTGAAGTTATTTAATTAATTAATTTGTTCCTTATTTAATATGTATTATTATTTTAACGACTTGGTGTTGGAAGTGTCATTACCCTGATGAACAAAAATATTTTAAAGAGCAAAAATTTAATAGCCTTTTAGTTGAAATGTCAAAATCCTATTTATATACATTTTCAATATTTATAGCAAACAAAAATACACAATTTCTTGGTAGATTAAAATTAAAAAGTTCGTTTTGACTACTTTGCCTCTGGGAATAGTTTTTGGTAATGAAAAATGATTAACAAACAATTTTGTTATTGTATCCTTTTGTGTATGCATATTGAAAACGCGCGGTTACTGTTTGCTCTCGATCAGCTGTGAGCCTGTGCCGAACAAGTTCTTCGATATGAATTAGCCTTTCTCATGTCATTAATTTAAGATCAGATCGACATTCGATCTCCGCTATTTTTGGGTGGGAAACCGCGTAACAACACAAGAGAAAAACAAAAACGAACGAAGGCGTGATTTAATGAAGTACGATAGCGGTTAAGAAACAATATTTATTTATTTATTTATTAACTTTACAACCTTTTATACATGAACAAATACTTGATATTAAATTAAATTTAAGAATACATGCACATAGCCCATATATATGAAGGAAAGGAATAAGGTTGAAGGTATATAGTCAACAGACAAGAATCTCAAATTAAGACCGATCCAAGAAAGACAACAATAGTTGTAAAATATAATTAGGGACACACACATTAACACACTGATATATCTGAACAAATAGTAATATGGCAAATGCATGAAATTAACCTTTAAGAACAGCAAGTTGGACTGTAGGAATGACACTTGGAACAATAAGTCTTTAAGTGCCCATTCGATTGACGTCAAAGGTAGATTCAATTAAGTTTGAAAAGGTAGTAAGAATACAGATGGTTTTTGAAGGAAAAATAGAGGTACATTCTGTGATACGATCGGGAAGGCTGTTCCAAAGAGAAACAATGTCTCTGTTGAAAAACGAGTCCCTAAAAATAAAAGTTCTGCGAAGATTGGGAGTTAGTAACCTTTGTGGGTTTGTACGAGTGTGAGAAACAGAGTCTGAAGAGAAATTGACAAAAGAAGGGAGATATAGGTGATAAAGACCCAGGGCCGCCGAGAGGTTGGCGGGGCCACGGGAGAAATTTTGTTTTTAGGGGCCCCTATCTAAAAAATTCTTCCGGAAAAATTTTTTTCCTAGAACAATCCCCCCCCCCTGTCGACAACTTTTTAGGTAAAAAAGTTTCCAGACGAGTACGTTGCAGTTGCTTTCCACGGACTTTATCTCATTTTTTCATGCCAAATTTCGGTACTTAGCCCAAAAAACAGATATCTTGTCCTTTGTGCGGAAACATTCAACACACAAAAAAGACTGGGGCCCAACAAAAAAATTTCAGGGGCCCCAGCACCTCGGGGCCCGGGGAAATTTCCCCCCCCCTGCCTCCCTCTCTGCGGCCCTGTAAAGACCTTGTAAAAACTTGAAAAAAAAAGAGAAGTACTTTCTTTATTGATTCACTTCTAATTTACTTGTTGCTGTATACTTTACCGATATCACACAAAAAAAATGGTCTTATGGGAAAAGACTATTCAGTAATCTGGGTCTATCTTGTTTCTTGCATGCTTGCTATAATTATGTTAATCAGATTCTTAGTGCTTGCAGACATATTCAGACAACGGTATATATTTGCGATTGTCACCACGAAACGGAAACCATGATTTTCACAATTACACAATGTTTCTATGAACACGGGATTACTGCGGACAAAATCACACTGTTAACATGACGACAAATATTTTTCCCTGACTTACTGTAGCTTATGCAACTACATGATAGACCGCCAAACCGTATAGTTAGAAAAGACCATTCATAAAAAAACGTAATATGTTCAAATGAAAGTTATTTTTAAATCCGTATTTTAAAAATACGACCATACATTTGGTTAAAGTCAGAAACTAACTAACGTCAAAAACAAAGTGCAAAGCATCGTATACATCAGCCAACTGATGATTAATTATTGGCATTTATAATTAAGGAATTAGTGAGAATAATGATGTGCTTGAAGTGTTCGAGTCCACAATGTTCTTAGAAGAACTTAGACAATTTTCGATCCACGAGCCACTTTTAACACCAACATAAGTGTCAAAATGATCACGACAAGCTGGAAAAATAAACAAAAAGGTTAAATAATTTAACAATATATATAGTCAAATATATAGTGATAACAAATACGAAATCAGGTAGCGTTTAGAAGGTTGTGAAAGGTGGTGCTCGCTCTATTTGGAAAATGAAATTTGCACCGAGTACACTTTCTGCTTGGAATGAGGAAAACAGTGGGCAGATAACTGACATGGGATTTTCGCCGGAAAATGACACTGAAACTTATAAGCTCCCTCCCCCTCAACCCCTGACGTGAAAGCTGCCCCCTCACATGAAAGCTACCTCCTCATTTCTCGACCCTTCGTTTATACTGTATAGTGGAAAATTTGTCTGTGGTAAAGATTCAAACACATCACATCTGCCTTAGTAAGGCTAAAAAATAAGGCCAACCTAATTAAATTAATGGCCTATTCTCAACTTTCAGTGAAGTAGGATTAACATAATTTGTGTTGAGAAATCTTTATAACTGGCTAGGATTGTTTGATTTAATGAATGTTATGCTCACCTCTAAGATCAAAAAGAAAAGTGCTGCCAATCCAATAGTCAGAAGATGATCCTTGATATATTCCTTCAATTCAGTGAAACAACCCTAAAGATAAAGAATAAAATATGACTTTTCGAAGAAAAGGAATAAAATTAAGATCTTTCGTTCCTCTAATACCAGAAATTTCAGACACAATTTTCCCACTTTTTGAATAAATTTACTCTATAATTCAATATTCACTGTACCCTGATTTTTACTATAATTTACATCAGGAAAAACGAATTAAGGTACATAAATCCGCAGTAATTGTTCCCGAAATGAGAATGTGTTGAAACTTCCCAGGCATGCATGGAGTTTATGATATACTTAAAGTAAAATCACACAAAAAAGTCGGGGTCACCGAACTCGTTAAGAAGATATGACAATCACAATATACCACCTTTACCCCCAATATGGCGCCATCTTGACGTTCATTACGAGTAACAGCAAAATCACAACAGCCGGATATTTATTGACGTTTTTAGCGCGGATTTTGCTTTAGTAAACTGACCTATCTTGTAATTATCTTTGAAAAATATTGTGTTTTGAGCAAAATAAAACTACGAACGTGTACAATTCGGATCCACAAATGTCTTTTGCATATTTTTTTACATATCTTTCTTTGAGAACATACATTGATAAAGGATTTTTGTCAAGATCCAGAAATGATTTTTCTTTTAATTTCGAATATGAAACGTAAAATGCATTAAAGAAATAAATTATCAGTTAAAAACGGGGGTCACCGATCTTTTTAGGGAATTGTGTCATTAAAACGTGAAATACAAGTAAATAAATATACTACAGACACAGAGAACCCTAGCTACACTTTTGTATGCCTTTTTTGGAAACATTGATTTTAACGTAATTCTTTGCACGAATGTAATCTAAGATGTTTTGAAGTAACATAAAATTGTCATAAAATTATTTTTTAACGGTACATATAATGGATGAAATTATAAGTTATAAGATGTGCGCAGCTAAAGTGCGCAATGCAAAACTGCGGAATTACCTTAAGGGAAAAATTCACGCACACTCACTGTGAAGAATAACAACTTTTGGAAGGTAGTGGTAGGAACGTTACAGTAGCGCGTGGATCAGGAAAATTACAAGAATACTAGAAAATACATGCATGCAGAAACCCTCGCCTTGCTGACAAAACCATTGAATTTTCCGAACATGAAGTATCTAAAGTAGTTGTCATGGTAACACGACAATTTATTAAGAATATTCTTACAAATGAAAAATCGCCTAAAAATATCACTTTTAATTACAAATTTCCCAACATATATATGTTAGGTATGTTATCATACGTAATATAAGCCTCAATTTAAGGTAAGATTCAACCACAAACGCTTCGCAAAACGTTTGAAAGTGTTCTTTATAAAACTAAACTGCCTTTAATAATTAAATGTAAAATGGCTTTAGTACCTTTACCGATAAACTTTGAGTTTGCAATAAAATTATTTCAAATTCTCGCTTGCAAATAACTTTGCTTTCTTTTTTATTTAAAAAATTCAATATAATAAAAAAGGGAATCAATATTTATTTTTAAAGACCATGTAAAGTCCGTAATGTAAAAAACGCTTTGTTTACATTTTGAACTCAATGCTACAGTTGTAAAATATGATTAGATATATTATACTGAATTTTTAACACTGTTCTGGTTTGCTATGCTTGTAAATGAATACAGACTAGAGATTCAATTCAAGAAAGTTCAAAAGATGCAAAATAATAATTACATTCCAACGGTCGGGTCCCAACCATTGGATTAGTTGTTTCATATACGCAAAGGCCGTTCGGGTTTTGAAGCCATTATAAAATCAATACTTAAAACAAACTTACCTTCGTTAACGTCGGCTCCCTTCTTTTAGCCGATTCTTTCGCCCTTTCTTCCTGAGAAAGCTTTTGAAACTTGCAAAATCTTGCAAAAATGCGAGCAAAAATGAAATATATTTGCAGGAAATTTATCAATCATCAAATCAAGAAATGTTTGCTATTTTGCTGTCGTCATGCAGTCGTTATATTGCAAATTTTAAATTGGACCAATCAGTATCCGCTATTCATGACAGTCCGCCATATTTTTGAGATCAGTGAGGATGACCACCCACCCAACACCCAACATCGTTGGTCACCCACGCCCGCGATAATTGATGAACTTTAGGCTTCGCTAATGTTTTCGTTTCCCCGGATGTAAATAGCCGAGGGGAATTAGTACCCTCGCACGGCGCTTCGCGCCGTCGGCTGGGAGATTACAATTTTCACGACCCACGCTACTAGAGACCTTAATTTTAAAGATGTACTAGGGCGGCAAAGCGACGACGACAGCCAAAACAAATTTACCCAAATAAATGATTGTAATGAAATCTTATCGTATATTATCATTCGTATGATACAGCTTGAAGAGATCAAAACAAAGGCTTTTTATTGAGTAGAGTTCCACGTTAGTATACTGAACCAATTTGCCGAGCAGCGAAAATGAACGTCATTATGCACAAAGGCATTACAAAACAATCCTCATTGTCAGCCGTTGATGTGATATGATTTGTGATGAGTTTTATTCCAGTTTAAGGCACGAAATATTTTTATATACTGTTAATAAATATCGTTCCTTCCTTGCCCTGGTAAGAATCAAGAGGCATTTTTTCTCTAGGAATTTAGGCGTGGAAAAGACTCTATTCTGCTTATGATCGCCTAGTACGTACTAACAGTAGTCATTGCCGTTATTTTGCATTTGGTTGAATGAAAATGTTAATTATTGCCGTTCCAAAGAAATATTTACTTGGTATTTTTATATAAGGGGCCATTCACAAAGGATGTCCGAGCCGAGGGGGGAGGGGGGTTGGAAAATTAGGACAAACTCGGACATAGGGGAGAGGGGGGGGGGGTTAGCAATCCGGATGTCCGAAATTTTAAAAAATTCAAAAACAAATTTCTTTTTCCCTCTATTTTGAGCAGTCCTTCCCATTGTGAAATTGGCATTTTGACTATGCGGTTAACAATAGATTTTGTTTTAATTAGTAATTTATATGTTTTTGTGTTCACATTTACAGTTATAGAAAAGTTCTGAAAGTTTACTCTTGATATATACAAGGTTGCGTGAGTTTTTGCGAGGCATGGCGGATGTCCGGGGGGAGGGGGTCACTAATTCGGACAATGCCGGACAAGGGGGGGGGGAGGGGGTCTGAAAATCCATCATTTGGCCGGACATCCTTTGTGAATGGGCCCCCTATCGTTTCTTTACAGAGTCCTATGGCTATGACCTATGTAGCTAGATGTTTCTTTAGTTTACTTTTAAAAGTTTTAATTTGATATATATTTCGGATATCTACAGGCAGACTATTCCAGTCGTTGGTAGCATAATAGATACTAGAGTAACAACGAGATAAGCCGTAGGTCAGAAACATAATGTAGGAACATAAGCCGAAAATAAGCATCTTGAAACCCAAAATATGAGTCAAACAAGAAAGTGAGTAAGTAATAATGAGTAAAATCATCATCAGACTAACTATAGAGTACCGCCGTATAGTTACAATATATACAAATACAAGGCTCAATCAGAACCACGACAAGTGAAGTGAGATGTAAGTGTGATGAAATGTGGGTGTATAGATTAAGAAAATTTTGGTCGGATATACTAGTATGCTCAGCGAGTCACGTCTGTAAACGTCTTTCTGTTTTCCCAATATACGTTGCGGAACAGCTAGGACATGTCACCTCATAAACTACACTAGATTTCTAAAGATTAGGAATTTTGTCTTTGTTTGAAAAAAAACAAATTTTGTACGTATCGACCTCGCACTAACTTTTTTGACGAAAACGAAACTAGGCCTAAGGTTGGGGTACGCGTTCTATACCTTGGTGAACAAGGTGAAACTTTAGTTAAAAATTGCCGAAAAAGAAAATACAAAGATGCCTAATCTGCGTACTGAGAAATATTTCTGCGTACTGAAACTTCTGCGTACTGAAAATGTATATCTGTGTAGTGAGAAATATTTCTGCATACTGAAAATATATATCTGCGTACTGAGAAATATTTCTGCGTACTGAAAATATATATCTGCGTAGTGAGAAATATTTCTGCGTACTGAGAAATATTTCTGCGTACTGAGAAATTTTCTGCGTACTGAAACTGATATATTTGTGTACTCTTTATATATTTATATGATGTATCAGTAATAAGAAATATTTTTCCGCAGTTCTATTATATTTCTGTGTTGCCGGTGTGGGCCACCGTAAGTTTGTCATGGATCAATGTAGCTGCTTAAAAATAATCAATTGTCAGTATATTTTAAAGGTATATTATTTAAATGATAAAGGTCTGTATGATTTTGGAAAAAGAGTGATTATTAGCTAGCAAATTATTGGGAGTGCTACAGCCCTGGGTCAGGAGTAGGGTTAGGGTACTACGTCAATGAACTACAAAGACCGCTAAACAGTTAGTGACTCGGACATACATTTGACTTGGGCTCAGATTTGACTCGGACTTGACACGGTAAACCGACAAACTCCTTACTAAATTAAACAATCTTTAAAATACGTAGTTTAAACATAGTTAATAAAATAGATGGTTTGGAAACTCATTAGAATAACAATATAATTAGTCAACGTTTATTCATAAATCTGGTCTTTCACCGTCACATGTGTATTGTATTTTTCCTCAACTGACCAATAGGAACGTTTTAGGAAAGTTACCTATCCATGACTCGAACAATAGGGTAAATTGAAAATTGCTATTGATGGATTTGGCAAAAACACAATACACACGTGACGGTGAACGACTATGTTTATGAATAAACGTTGACTAACATAGATAATGAGTTATGTTGTTATTCTAATGAGTTTCCAAACCATCTAGTCTATTTACTGTCTGTGGTTTAAACTAGTGTATATAGTACATGCCAATTGCCAAACTTTCCTTTCCTTGTAATCATCGTAATCGCTTACTCGTTAATTATCTTTTTTATTAAAATGTATCATAATTTAAATATGACAAAAATTTATGGAATGTTCATGGGAAAAGTGGGAAAAGTTATAAGGTAGATGTTCGATTATCGCATTGAATTTTGTTTGGGTCTATCTGTTGATTAAAATTGAGATTTAATTAATTTATAATTCCAATTTATCCAGGCCTGCAGAAATTGTATAAAGCTTTATAATTAATGTATGTCGTGAAATTAACGTAATGAGTACGAACAAATTTTTGAATTTTATAAGTAGCAACTTTTTTTATTTCGCGCAACTTTTGAGCAACTTTTATGCTCTTTAGGGAAAGTACATTTATTATGCGGAGGGCGAGGGATGAACATGCACAAACACCCAGCCTCCGCTTCTGATTTCAAAATTCTATCAGGCACTTCTGAGTGGGAACTTCTTATCCGTGAAAGCCTATTAATTTTTCAACTTAACCCCGTCCTTAATGCTAATGTTAGATCTACCCCTCTTGAGTTATTTTGGTTATGTAATATTAACCTTAACTATTCTAACCATGCATTTAACATTAATCTTTACTTATTAACTAGTTACTGATAAGTTGTTTTCCTTTCTTTCTATTCATTTGTTCTTTCAAATTATGTAACCGTTTTTCTAATATTAAACCATTATTTTGTAAATATATATACCATACCCTTTAAATTCATTTAGATTGCTCTGAATATGTTGTATTGTAAACAACGAAACGTTAGCTAATTAAATCTTTACTTTTATTATGTTTGGTTTTAAAGTTATTTGCTGGGCTTTGCTCTTTATCTTTAACTAAGATTTCCGGCTGGAGCCTGGTGTATCGATTGCCACAGTTATTGTACTAGCCCAAGTCTCTTAGCAGGGGGGTTGCACGCGGTATTACGCAGTTTGTTATCATTCTTCTGAGAAAAATATACAGAAATAAAATAAAAATATAGATATTTTTCCACAATATAAATGCAAAAGGTACTGCTACATGTTTGTAAATACTTAGAAATTAATCTATTATTCTTTATTGCATCAACTTTTGGGTTTTTTGGCTCATCATGATGTGAAATTGCAAAGACTGTCACTATATCCATAAAGACTCTCACTTGTCATTGGTAAAGTTGTTCATTTTATTTATTACTGAAATTATGTACACAATGTTGGCCTTACAATATGAAAAGGCAATTTTCCTGGATACTGTCTACCTGAAATTGTTGTCAACAATAAAGTTTTGAAGGTTTTATCCCTAGAAATTTTAACTTCTAATGGGGTGTTTATATGGAGGTAAAATACACTCAGGTACCCGAGCTAGATCTCTTTGCTGAGCTGATTTTATCCCATGTTTACTTGAGACTTTTGAGGTGGGCTGTCTTGCCAAAACAAACGATTGGTGTTACCGCTATAAATAGTATAATATAAGTAAACATATTTTTATTTTTCAAGATCTCACCTAGGCAGGCCAGCTCGGTTCCCATTTAAACACAAGATAAATGTTAGTATATATTACATAGCGATGTTAGATCTCGGCAAAGCAAGCTAGCTCAGGTATCTAGGCTGGCTCTACTCCCAGCCTCGTTACCCAGGTGCAAATAACGTACGGTACTAAAAACAGCAACACTACAGTTTTTGTATAGAGATCACTGTAGTGTTGCTATTTTTAGTACGTTACTTGCGCCTGGGTACGAGGCTCTCCTCCATATAAACACCCCCTTATATCAATAGATTGATGTGTATTATGTATTAATTATTTAATGCCCAGCTGTTATATCCCAGATCTATAGCTTGGAAAAGAGTCTTGGCCAGGCAGGCCAGCCCAAGAGGAAAGAAGGTTTATATAACGTACTAAGGCATATTGGTAGGTAGTGATGCCAAATTACTTTAAACTTCTGTCTACCTGGTCAAATATAAAATATCCCTGAATCTCCAGTAGTTCAGTTGGTAATTAATGGCAGCTCAAATAGGATTAGAGCTTAAGGTGATGATGGATCATGACAACATGTTGTATTTAATATTTTTTTACACATGTTTTGTTCCAGCAAGCCCATGCTTGCCTCAACAGTCTCACATAAATTGAATAACCAAGCTAGGTTGTTATATGGTAGCCAAGCTAGGTTGTTATATGGTAGCTGTAATATAAATTGGGGCTATGTCCTGTGCGGTCACCATTTGCTAATGTAAATACTTATTAATATAAAATAACAATAAAGTAATTAAAGGAATATAGCTAATCTAGGTTGGGTTAACCCCATATAAACAGACCATAAGTAGGCTGTCTGTCGTAGAGTGAAAGCCATCTTCCAAAAGTTTTTATTTATAAAGCTCAACGTCCCATAATAACAAAAATGTTACTATATAATACAAGAAAATGGAACTAATTATGTGCAGATTTATTAAATAGATGAGTTAATTTTATTGAGGTCAACTGCTACTATAAATTAATGGGCAATATTAGTCTACAAATAGGAGAAACATTTATTAAACAAATACATATTGTGCTCCTTATTCATTGTTGACAAAAATGTCAAAGAAAAACTGCCTGTTCACGTTGCAAGGCCAAAATTATGTACATAATTTCAGTAATAAATAAAATAAACAACTTTACCAATGACAAGTAATTTCGGTAATAAATAAAATAAACAACTTTACCAATGACAAGTGAGTCTTTCTGGATATACTGTGGTGACAGCCTTTGCAATTTCATATCATGATGAGCCAAAAAACCCAAAAGTTGATGCAATTTCCTACACATACAGACAGTAACTTCTCAATTTTTTCTGCGTGCTTTCTGCATGTGTTCCTCGCCGCGCTGCATTTGTTGTCGCCTGGAGAATGGGGACAACTCATTATTGCAATACGATTGGTCACTACCTTCACTACCTTGGAAGGCAATTAGCCAATCATAAGCTTCGATCATATAGCTAGGTTCTTTACCTAGTGATTACTAGTCAAGTGATCAATGACTCAACAAGGCTATTAGGCAACATAAATGAGTGTAATACCATCATTAGCCTGCGAACAGGCTCTCAAGCTGAATTGAGAGCCTGCATCGATGACTAATGAATTTGAATATCTGCCCCGTAACGTTCGTTTTTCCAAATATGGAATGTCTATCCTTATATGGTGTTGTTTACAACTTTCGTGCAAACTAAATTTAGACCGTGCAAACTAAATTTAGACTGTACAGTTTATACTGTTTTTCGAAATATAAGATATTCAAGCAAAAGTTCAAATGTTTTAAATACTGTTTTCTCAAAACAGAACATTTCGTGCTTTGAGATAAGACGGCCAAGACCAATTTGATCAGTTAATGTGTTTTTTATGCATAGTGCTTCAGCAGTTGACATATATAGAGCTCAGCGGAAACATATAAATTATAGCATCTGACCAATGAGAATTTCGCGTCACGATTTGAGACGCAGATATTCAAATTCATTAGTCATCGATGCAGGCTCTCAATTCAGCTTGAGAGCCTGTTCGCAGGCTATACCATCATGAGTTAGTTAAACATAATACTAGCAAACCTTAATTTGATAAAATGAAACATCTTCAACACTTATCACATTTCTGCAAGTACTTCTCTTTTAAATTTCCCTAAGGAGCAAGTTGTGAGAGTCAGTGAGACTAATAATTGCTATAATTATCTCCCAATTCATGAGGTTAATTTTTTGTTGAAGCTGCTTTCAGAGTGCTGCAAATGGCGTTTCTGAGGTTTAAAAATAAAAACTTTCCTGGGGACAGACACCCTGGGGGACAGACCCCTAGGTGCCTCGCGCATTCACCGCTCGCAAAACTAGGTTGTACATCTGGATCCGACCCTGCCCATGGGGTAAACAATGCTGTGTTGGTGTATACTCCATAACGATCTGGTTGTGCGCAACCTACGCCCCAAGACACCACTCCACCAAGGATAAATCTGGAGTTGCTGCGATCAAAACACGTCAGAGGACCACCACTATCTCCTTGACATGCGTCCGTACCTCCTTTCTTATATCCAGCACAAAACATATTACTGGTAACTTTTCTGGGATTCAGCAAGCTTGCGTACGCCTATAAAACGACACAAAATGTTACAAAAATTGGATATAATTGTATTATATTTCGGAAAACTCTACACTGAATTATGTGTATTATACCACAACTTCAAATTGTCCAACCAGGAATCTTAGCTTGTGGTACGCCTTACGTAATAAATTACCGAGCCTGCGTTCCCTTTGAAAATGTTCCACCCCATGTTTCCCGGAGAACATGGGATGAACATTATTCGCGTACACCACGCGAGACAACACGCAAGACAACAAGATGGCCGACAATTAGCCATTTCCCAATCGAGTAGAGGACTGGGTCTAGTCGCTTGTTTGGAGGGAAAAAAATAAACAATATGCCGAATATGGCATCTAGGAAGTTTTTCTACATTCTTAAAGTTATTTGTGTAGCCTGAAACGCAACAATTATAATGAGGCATCTTTTAATACATATTTAGCTCGCTCCGCAGTGACTTGTTGTCCCTCCAAACGTCCCTGCAAGCATCAACTAGACCCAGTCCTCTTCTCGACTGGAAAATGGCTAATTGCAAAATTTAAATAGTGATGAGTGATGAATAATTAATACCTGGGGCTTTCTCAAAATATTGAATCAAATTTTGAAAAAAGTTTATCATCAATATTCCAAGTCCAAACGATACGTGATTCAAAAGAAAAGCACGATAGTTGCGTTAATCCAAAAATAAAACATCGTATTCACGAACGGGCATGTGTCAAGTTTTTAATCCTAAACTTGGAGTATTTTAATTGTCGGTATAATATTATACTTATGTCTGCTCCCGAGGGAAATAGTTAGTTTTGTACAACAATTGTTTTTCGTGGCAAAAACTCTATAGAGTAAACGAGTTTAAAATTAAAGAACCTACTTAAACGGTTTCGGCATCATATCCTGTTTCTTGTTCTGTATTTTTCTTCCCTTTTACATTCTTTATTTGAACACAAACTTGGAAAATCGTAGTTTCTACTATTATCGTAGTTGTGCCACCATTTTGTTTATTTATTATGTACGTGGCAGGTCGGGGCGGGCCGCGGGCAACAATTTTTCACTTGTTGCCCGGCGGGAAACATTGCATTTATCTGAAGTCACGTGACCACAAATCAGCCAATCACGTTTGGTGTTCACGCTAGCTATATAACAAATACATTTATAGCCCTCCGCTCGGGGGATTCGGTGAAATATTACCCTCAGTGATGATACTTTATTAGTTGGATTAACTCAACTATCGTCGCTTTTCTTTTGAATCACATACCGTTGGGAATATTAATGCAATAGTTTTCAAAATTTGCTAAAAAATTTTGAAAAAGCCCCAGGTTTTACGTTTAAAATTAAATTATTCGTCACTCATCACGTGCTACAAACTAAGCTTCCTGATTGGACAATTTGAAGTTGAGGTATAATATATGCATCATAAATGTCCACTTGGGCATGGGCGATTTAACTTGTATATGCGAAATATTGCCAATATACTAATTTTATAGATAAATTTTATACAGTTATATAGCAGTACTAGTAGTATTCGACATAGATTTTGTGTACTTGTATATTTTGGTAAGTGGACAGCCATTCTGTGGATGCTTGCCAATAAATCGTTATTATTATTGTTGTTGTTTTTTTCTTATTTACAAACACTCAACGGTAACAGCAAAATGTTTATCAGTCAAAGGTGACGAGATGAGCAATTTGTATACGCAAATGTGCCAAATATGAAAAAAACTAAACACTGAAAAATCCCCGTTGAAGTTCCTAGCAAAACAAATTTCCAAACGAAGGGCCATGATGGCATTCTACCGTAAGCCAACTATACTTTAGCAAGGATTACAACATTACCTTCACACGCGTCTTGAAAGGTGCAATCTTCACATTAGCCTGCAAGAGTCTCGCAGATTTAACACCATAGTTTGAGTAACGCGTCCAAAGCCTGTGACCGTGCATAAATCTTTTTCTGTTAACACTGTCCCGCTTCCCGGCATGAAGAGTGGACGCACATTGTCGTTATACACGGCGTATTTATCCAATCTTATTATGGCAACGTCCTTGTCATATGGCGCATCAACTCCATAGTCCTCATGAACAATTATTTTCGAGCATCTAAATCTTTGCTCGTGTCCAGATTTCGCAGATTGGTCTACTTCCCCGATCACGATATACAACTCATTTGGGAACGACTGCGATACACAGTGGGCAGCGGTAACTACCCACTCGTCATTTATCAGCGTTCCACCACACGTTATATTACAATGGGCGCACTTTTTAATCCCGACTTGCCACGGCCAACTGCCAGCTGCTGCTCTTGTGCCATTTACTACCCCACCGATTCTGCCTTTGGTTCCACACCTTATCTTTTTATTCCCCTGCGGTGGGGGTGGTTTGGTTGTTGTGACAACGGGGTGTGTGTTTGCGGGAAATGGTGAAATGGGGGGTGTGTTTGCAGGGATTGGTGGGGGTATCAGTGCACCTGTTGGTGGAAGAGGTGGCGTTCCTATGTCGTCTGTTGGTGGGACTGGCGGCTGAATTGTAGATGGGATAGTTGTGGTTGCCGGTGTATTAGCGGTAGTCGAGGTTGTCGAGGTTTGGGTTGAAATAATTTGTGTAGTCATAGCATCTGTCGTCGTTGTTGCGTTCCCTAGAAATATTTTTAACCTTTTGTTATATACGGTGGTTTAATAAGCTCTTTATAGTTAAGGATAACTGAAATATTATGATAATATTATGATAGATCTTCGTTAAAATTTATAATAGCTAAACATATTTAAAAGTAAAAGTTTATTCCGTTCTTTTAGTTTTACAAAACTTCTTGTAAACCACATATAAATCATAAGTATTCTCTATAGTTATAATCAGTCCGCGTATTCTCAGTTCACAAATGTTGTATTTCGGCTGATGAGAAAGGTCGTGACTCAATTTTTATGACCGTTATAGGGCCACATGAAAACCAGGCTTTAGTCATCTTTGTTTGATTCTATGCTTGTGCAAACTAGGAGTTCCTAAAGTTCTCAATGGACCTATTCCCTAATGAACAAAATTTTGATCTAGACTAGAGTAGACAAGTCTATCTTGAAAGAGCATCACAAAATTAGTAATATTAATAATAATAATAATAATAATAACTTCTTTATTTAAACTGGTAAAACCCGATCAGCTAACAAAATATCAGCAGGTATAAACCGATGACCAGCATTAATATATAAATAATTTACATCCATAATACTATATATTATCTAAAAAAAAACACACCACATGCAATACTAAAATAGATATAAAAAATGTTTAAAAAAAAAAAAAAAATTTAGTGCTAAGAGTTACTATATGCTACAACGATGTTCGTGAGCATCAGTTTCTAAGAAAAATTTAAAAATATTGTTTTTAAAGGAGTACAAAGTCTTTAAGTCTCGTAAGTATTTTGGCAAGGCGTTCCATTCTTTCGCGGCCGAACATTGAAATGACGACTCGCCCATTTTCGATTTGTTTGGAATTACGCACAACAACGTGCATGGTGACTCTCAGGGATCTATTGTGCGTTTCTGATCTTTTAATAAAATAACCAATTAGTTGTTGTGGGCAGTCAATGTTGTATATAATTTTATATACCAATTGCAAACGAAGAAAGCGCCTTCTGCTGTTCAATGACAATAAGCCTAGTGCGCATTTCTTGTATGCACGTTTTGCGATTTGCTGATAGTATAATACGCATCGCTTGATTCTGCAGACGCTCTAACCGCTGCGAATTCCCCTTTCCGCATTTTGCCCAAACCATACAGCCGTAATCTAGTACTGGTAAAATAGTTTGTTTATATATCCTTAATAACGTCTTACAGCTAAGGAATACCGATATTCGGTTCAGTATTTTGAGCTTAGGGTACATTCGCGCTGATAAATTCGATATATGTTTTTTTCATGTCAAACAGCTATCAATGTCGACACCGAGGTATCTAAAATGATCTGACTGTTTCAATATTTCCCCGTTTAATTTAACATGTAAATCACGCGCGTTAGCCACTGAATATCTGGATCCTATAAGTTTCCCCGAAGTTTCGTTGCGAAATGTTGAAAAATGCGGATAATATAGCCCTGCGAAGTTTGCCGTTTTTCAGTCATTTTGTATTACGCGCGGGAAATTGATACCGCTTTCTGAAAAAGGTATCAATTTCCAGCGCGTAATACAAAATGACTGAAAAACGGCAAACTTCGCAGGGCTATATTATGCGCATTTTACAACAGTTTTCAAAGAAACTTCGGAATATTACTAATTTTGTGACGCTCTTTCAAGCTGGGATGAAATTTTTGTCTAGGCTCGTCTAGATCAAAATTTTGTTCATTAGGGAATAGGTCCATTGTGCATTGCGCATGCACTGTACATAAACGTTTATATATTTCGTGGGCCGTCTCACCCGTTTTGTCAAGGACTGCAGTTAAGCTGCTTCCTATACATTAACCATGGCAATAAAATTATAGAAATCCAGGTTATATATTTCATACAAAACATACCATCGTCACAAACAGATAATCCTGTTCCAAAACGAGTCCAAGTACAACTAGCGTAAGGACAATACCACCTTAATTGTCTTGACATTGTAACCAAACGGCAAACCACTATATATAAACGTCACCAAGTACTGTCTATTGAACCATAGCTTCAATTTATTTCCGACACATAACCACTGCTGGTTTCCATTTGACGCCGTGCATGGCTGAAAATGAATCGACTTGAACCAGTCATAAGTTAGGCAATTTCCGTTATGATTTAACTTCAGTTGACCGTCACTTGTCCATTGCCATAACTGTCTTGCCGAGTTCTGATCACAGGTATCGAGTGTGAATGTAGGAGCCAGTCTTCTGAAATCGTAGGACAACTGTGACTTATCTCGCAAGGCTAGACACTTGTTATAAGCTGTATTCTTAATTTGAAACCATTGGTTTTGAGCTGTGACTGCTGTAAAAGAGAACTCAAATTAGCTACGGGGCTTAAATCATTTTGACTTCTGAAATTAAGTTTTTCTAGAATCTAAATTCCCGTTTACATTAGCGATTTTGGCTGCGATTCCTGGTGCAATTTTCAACTTTTGAAGCATGTAAACGATTGACTAGATGAGTTATGACATTCATAACTTATCCACTAGGTCACATCCATAAGAAGAAGATAATCACGCCTAAAGTTGCAGCAAAAATTGCAAGTGTCAACGGCCTTAAACACTCTCACTCACATTCACACTCAATGAGTGGAGGTTCAATCTGAGCTTCTCCTGAGTGTCACTGCTGTTTTTGAATAGCTGGAGTGTGAGTAGTGACATAGTCAGGTATGAAACTAGCCCTCCAGCTTTTCAAAAACAGCAATGACACTCGAGAGAAGCTCAGATTAAACTTCCACTCATTGAGTGTGACTTTGAATGAGCCTTTAGTATACGGGCGTAATACTTGTATACTGGTAAGGGTTTGGGCTCAGGGATGGTAAACGTGGTCCACAAAACAAATAAGAAAATTTAAAACTTCGCGTAGAACTTACCAGTGACTCGCGTGGTAGGTATCGGTGTTGTTTGAGGTGCTGAAATACATAAATATATATGAATATTATAATGCAATAATGTTTGTTTCATTATACTATGAAAACAACAAATGCCTCCTCTCACTCGAAATAACCTGTCATATTTCCTTTCAAAAGAACCAGGAATTCGACAATGTTGCTTACGCTGTAAAAGCTACATATTGGGAATGGCGACGTCTGATTATTCTATGATAAACTATACTGAGATTCCCATTGTCGTTGTCGACGGAACATTTTTCGGAGACATCAATTAAAACATTTTCAGTTTAGAATTTGACACATTTTTAAGGAGGTAGGTAATCTTCGAGTTAAGCCCTTCGAGTTAAGTCCTTTTCCAGTTAAGCCCCGACCACGCCCAAACCACACTCATTTTCGTCAAGGGCTTTACTCGAAGAAAGAAAAACAACTTGGAAGGTTCGAGTTAAGCCCCGTGAAAAAAGAGGGATTTAACTCGAAGTCACTGAAAACATTCGACGCTCGAGTTAAGCCACGACATTTGTAGCATGTAATGAGAGCAATGATTTGAGTAGTCCACAAACTAACGCCTCGGCCTAAATAAGTTGCAGCTTAAATGCGTCACGAGCAACTCGTACAAACAGTCAATTTACATTAAGTAATAGATTGTTTTGGACTAGCTTTTATACCTTTGAGCTTATTACGCATAAATCGACTTCCTACGCGAAATAAAACCGCGACTTATTATTGCTGGTATAAATAGCTCGGCTATTATGACCATCATAACCAATAGTTGGCCATGAAAAGCGATGCAAATATGTAAATCGAAAGTCAAATGGAATAAATTGTTTATATCCCAAGTCGTTTTTATGAAATGTTTGACCAGTAGGTTTACATGTTGGTTCCGGCAATTCGATTTGACAGCATATGGATTTATTAGCGTATCACTTTATAGACAATTCCACGCTGTTTTACGTTTAGTGCGTCACAACTTTTTTACATTGTCGTTGCTGTTGGATTTGGTTGTTTATAATATTATAATATTTATAATATTATTTTAAAATGTATTAGTGATACATTCTAATTCATGCTAAAAATATGGTTCGTTCAAGTTGGAATCCTTAAATGATTCACTAGTTTTTAACTGGGAGATGTATGCGGCAACAATTCGTTATTTGCGCCCAATATCTGAAGTATGCCGCCTTTCAAACCAAAACTGGGAAGCTCATGAATAAAAAGAAATTATTTTCCTTTATTTTATTTTCCAATCTTTGTCAGATAAATGACAGGTTATACCCAAAGAGCTGAACACTCCTTTACGGTTAGCTATTGATACAGAATATACATATAAGTGACTTTAAAAAATGAAAGGATTTACAAGTAGGTGCATCCAATATTACTGTATTTAAATTTATTTGTACTTTGTACTTAATTACTGTATTTCCAGCTATATTGTGGACGACTCAAATCATTGCTCTTTTACATGCTTCAAATGTCGGGGCTTAACTTGAGCGTCGAATGTTTTCAAAAGACTTCGAGTTAAACCCCTCTTTTTTCACGTGGATTAACTCGGATTTTCCAAGTTATGTTTCTTTCCTCGAGTTAAGGCCTTAACAAAAATGGGTGTGGTTTGGGCGTATTCGGGGCTTAACTCGAAAAGGGCTTAACTCGAAGATTACCTACTTCACTTTTAAGTATGATTTGCCGAGTGAGAATCTCTGAAATTAACAATTTCTCGCAACAAATGTTAATCATGCTCATTTTTATTGTTTATCGTTTCAGACATATACTTTCATGCTAATTGATTATCGCTGCAAACTGAGATTCGGTATTGTTTATCCATTTCAAGGAGCCGTCCAAAGTAGCGTCATGTAATGTAATTTATCCGAGTACTATGAGTGAGTATCTAATTTATCTTCTTAGTATTATGATTATATTCCCTTATCAAGTCATCTATACCAGGGCAAGTCTTAATAAATGAACGAACGAAGGACAATAATAGTTTTTGACGAGGTTCATACAGCGAAGTCCTGTAAACGTGCATTGAAGCACTATAAGACTTGGGCTGGTGAGAGTTTGGGCTCAGGGATGGTAAACGTGGTCCTTTCCACAAAACAAATATTAAGGAAGTTTAGAATATCACGTAAAACGTACTAGTGAGTTGCGCAGTGGGTTCCGGTGTTGTTTGATGTGCTGAAATACATAAGTATATATATATATGAATAATATAATGCAATGTTTTTTTCATTATATTATCAAACAGCGGATGTTTAATTTCCTGTCAACCGAAATAACATGTCATATTTTCTTGCCAAAACATTCAGAAATTCGACAATCTTGCTTCATTCGTAATATCTACTTCTTGGGAATGGTAACATCAGATTATTCTACGATAAACTATGCAGAGCTTGGCTAACAATTGTTCCTTATTTTAAAAGTAACAAGCGCAAGAATGTAGTCCAGTTTCTGAATGCATTAACACGAAAATATGACATCTTTCTTCGGACGATAGGAAGTACCAGCTGTTTTGCTACGGTGGTACATTTAAGTAAGAATGTAAGATAGTTGCATGAACAAATCAAAGATATGGCTCAGCAAGCAAGCTCGTCAGTCAGTCCTGATTGCTAATATCAGCTGCCGGCGATAATGAGTACTAACATTACGTTTAGGATGTTTTATAGTACACAAACATAATGAAACATTATGTATTACACATATGAACCAACATACCATTTCCACAGAGTGATTTCGAAGTACCATAGCGTGCTCACAGGCAGCTGTTGGTCACACTGGATCTTACTGTAATACTACTACGAGGCTTTCGGCCGCCCCTGTATAAGAATGGTATAAGGTACAACATCTTGTTCTTTAGTTTTAAATAACCACCATTACAGACCCAATCTTGATCGCTCGTAGTAGAATTGAAGGTTGCAGTGATGCTCCGTATCTTTTACCTAAATACCTGTTCCAAACACTGGTCACGGCAAGACATTGTTGATTTAAATCTGACTGAAGACGTCCATCTGATGTCCAGCGCCTGCTCTGCTGTTTGGAGAGGTAAACGCAGTCGCTCAAAGATAGCGGTACACTAGTTATAGCTACATAATGGTAAGTGTGTGTTTTTCCATTGAAGACTTTTCTGTAAACCCCACGTGGTCTTACATAATTCGCTTTCAGGCATTTATTATAGCCTGGACTTTGAATTTGGAACAAATTTGATGTTGTACTTGTACCTCAAAATTAACAGAACAAATCCAAATTAACAATCTCATTTGATATTTAATCCTAGTGTTAACCATCATCCTTACTCTTGTGACCTTTCCCTAACTCTAAGTCTATTCCTATTCTAGCCCCAACGTACAATCCTAACTCAAATACAGTAGTTCATGCATTTGGGGATTGTTAGGAACATCTATTTATTTTTATTGTTGTTTAGAGAGGAGGCTTTCATTCTGCACCGGATATTCTCAAGGAAAAGTTTTAACTGCAGCCTGTTCTTCTGGCAACTCTTTGGGAATTAAAGTTAAATTGACACAGTTGTGGACGAGCCAAGCAGCGTTATGCTATGTCATGTGTGCAAGCATAGAAACAGCCACAAATGGTTTTCCAATTACAAGAGCATAACGTGTGACAACCGTTCCGTGGGTAAATGAATCGAAACTCCTTTCGTAACTACTGTCAGTAATACGCAGGAACGCCGGAACTGAGGGCAGGAGCGGCAGCCGCCCCAGTTGCCCTTTACCAGGAGGGTCAAGGGGGCAAAGGTGCCCATTCAATTTAAAGGATTGCCCTGGCGAAATAGCGAATTGTCAGAAATGTTAGTGCAATTCTTTTACGAATTTGCTTCAGGAAATGCAAGAAATGCAGTCATCGAGCTTCAAGAATAGCACAATCGCCTGGAGGAGAACCCCTCACACCCGTATCATCCAATCAATAGAAAACATGATTAGGCGAAGTTCAACTCCCGAAGTTTTGCAAACATCTCTTAGTATATATCCATTCAAAAGTGCCCTTTCGCGAAAATCTGCCCCTAATTGCCTTCACATCGTTCCGGCAATTCAAAACATTAGAAATTTTAAATTTTCAAATATTCAAAAATATTCTTATTAAGATTATGGTGTTACAATGACAACTACTACTTTAAAAACGTCATGTTCGGAAACTATAAAGGTTTTGCCAGCAACTGAGGCGAGGGGTTTCTGCATGCATGTGCTTCTAGTATATATCTTGAAATTCATTGACAATCTTGTTCACTTTACTTGTTTCGACCTACTCACAAGTTGTTTTTCGAAACTGTAAACTAATAACTGCTAATGCAGGTGTTTAACTATAATGAGAACTAGATATCCATGGCCATGTGCTTTGTATTATCTTTAAAGTCTGAATTCTAATTAACATATGACATATAATTAAGTACTTAATAAAACGCGACGGTGTCATTTTTCTCCTTCATTTTTTTAGAAGAAGTCCTTAATGATGGATTTCCTCACTTTTGTCAACCTCATTGTCATATTTGTTGTCAACGTATTGTTCTTTTTCTCGGAAATATGTTTAAATTCCTTGGTCATACTCAGCTTGTGGAAATTATGTTACTTCATGATAATGGTTTTGTCCTGTTGCGATCTGCTTTCGGTTTTAACAAATCATCCATCGAAGGCTCTTACTGCGATGCTATGGTTGAGTGACACATCTAAAGAATACTCTGGTTGGTTGGATATTCCCTTAAGTTTATCAAATACATTCCTTGCTTTTTCTATGCTCGCTCTTCTCGTCATGAATTTGGAACGATATTTGGCCACATGCTATCCTATCTTCCATCGAACATCGGTAACGAAGGGAAGACTTTTAATTCTTTTTGCAGCATTAAGTATCATGTTTCCAACTCTGGCGCTGTTATCGGTATACAACTTCGTTATTTCCTATACAGTTTTTTTATTAATTTGTTTTATTATTCTCTTTCCCCTAATGATTTTCATCAACTACAAGTTGTTCACAATCGCCAGAAAATATGGTAGAAACAACATAATAACATTGAGGATGAAAAGGACGTTTTCTTGGAAAAAGATCTCGAGTTGCATCCTGACAGTCGTTTGCTTTGCGGTGCTATCAATTCCAGTGTGCGTTTATTTTGGGCTAAGAATACATTCGATTTATTCCTCGAAAGAGCAAACGATATACAATTTTCAGGCAAAACTTGCAAGGCTTTGGAGTACAACTATATTCTCAATGAATTCAACATTTAACTGCTTAATCTTTTTCTGGAAAAACAAGCTTTTACGGAACGAGGGAATGAAAATTATTAAAGGCTATATAAAGTAAGTCGACGAGATCAATCCTGGTCTGGATCACAGTAAAACGTTCAGCTTTCTATAGTGAAGTTTTATGTAGCTATCTCGAATTTACAATTTTGTTCATTCCTAATTCCTAAATGTGGCTTCTCATGGTTTATGTTATAATATCCATGTGAGGTCTGTGAATTTGGCACTACACGTATATGTGACTGATGTACCCGTCTTTAAACTTATACACCACTGGATATGTGCATCACATGTGTCTTGGCTGCTTGAACAAAAGAACAAATTCAAGAACAAAATAAAAAATGTACAAAAAATATATTTCCCTTTAATGATGAAGAAGGAAAGAAGTAAATTCATGTAATGGTGTGAAAACAGTCAGACACGTATATACTGCCTGACTTAGAAACTGGACGCTTATATATTATACAGGTTGCAGCTGTTAGTTAAAATAAATTATCACACACCCAGTACAGGCGTTTATCCTATAGTAAAATTGCGCTCTTTATTGGATCTCCAAGAAGAACAGTTTAAAACTGATGTCTAATTTGGTTATGACGAGTATTGTTCAAGGATTCAACTTACTGAGAAGCGCATGCAGGATAAACTTCGACGTATCGAGCGAACGTTTGTGAACGTCGAAGTTTGTTCTTTTTTAATTAATTTAGCTTGGCTTATTAGGTTTCCTACTGTCTAGTAACTGCATTGAAGCAATCAATGATGGTGCTCAGTGAACCTTGAGGGAGAAAAGTTTGTGAGTACGAAAACGGTCCAATATAAAGTTAAATTACAAGTTCCTCTTCTAGTGAACATGCAATTAGCTAAAGCTTTACGTGAAGTAGTCGTCTAGAACTAATAAGAGCTATTTAGTATGAATATAGTTAGAGTTTATAGACGTTTCATATTTTATTAATATTTTGACTCTTGGGTACTAAGCGCTTAGCGCTTCGGACATCTGTCCTTCGCATAATTGATGCAACATTAATGATAACCCTAATTTGACAAAAATGAAACGTGCTTATATATAGCGATTAATGTTGAAACAATACTTAGAAAATAAGGACGAGGGGCTGTTGTATGCATGTGTTTCTATTAACAAATCTATTTATTGGGCGTTTTAAGATATAGGCATGAGGCATTAATATTTCCACTATTTTCAATTTAACTTTTTAGGAACAAACTACGTGAAGATTATGCTAATCGTTCTTTAATAAGCCGGACTTTTTAGCGTTTCTATATTTAGCTTTGCACGTTCGCCTGTCCATGAATTTGTTATTTCTATATGTTCGTCAAAAAGTTTTGTTTAATTCGTTTGCAACACCCAGTGTGTGCTGTCAATAACACACATAATCTACAGTTTCCATTCGCCACCTTGGCACAATCTTTTGTGATAATCTCAATTTTCAAACGTGATGCATTAGTACAAACTTTAGGAATTAATTAAAGTATTCATGAACATCGAAACCATATCACCTACTCATATACAGATCACGATTTACAGGCACCTTGTTTAACAAGGAAACGTTTATAATGATACTTTTATGAAAAGTAGCTGATGATAACGTATACTAAACAGACGTGCTGTTTTATCTCTTATCGTTGAAAATGAAGCAATCTGATTGGCTTCAGAACCGGCCTGTTTTTGTCATCCGCCCCGCTCTGAAGGGAACCGGACCGTTCTGGTTTTCACGCCAAAACAATAAATTATTTAAATTAAAAATTCGGCCCAAAAATCTTAGTTAACGGTAGCCAGAATGTGAAAACCAAGCTAGGTCAAAAGACTTCATACTAAGCAGGATGTGCAACCGAAATTTGTTCTCAGGCTATTGCCTGTGGGCATTAGACCGTTACTTGGGTCTTGGAAATGGACTTTCTGAAACAGAAAATGTAGAGAGCACTCAGGCACATCAATCCAAATCGCCATTTATTCAGAGTTGTTTTCCATTGAGTTGCATTGAGAAATTGATTTACCTTCAGGTCTGCATGTTTTCTGCTTGTCATTTTAATATAGTAAAATAATCCGACGTTGGATCGACGGTTAAATGTAAAATAAACATATTAGCTACACTTTATAATCACTCAAATGGCCAAGTTACTGTAGCTTAATTATATTGTATACACAGGGCCGTAGGAAGCTCTTTTCGATTGGGGGCGCTGAAAGCGAGGGCCGAAGGCCCGAGGAAATTTTTAAATTTAGAGTCTCTAAAATGCCATTTCCTGGACTTTGGGGGAAGATTTAACATAATTCTGATAGTCAGAAAACAGCGTTTTAGTATGTCGAAATTTACAGGAAAGTATGGACCAGACTGTAGTATTATAAATGCGCGGCGGGAATTTTCGTCGTTTTTCAGCCCCCCCCGGTTGCTACGGCCCTGTATACAGTGCAGATGCGACGAATGTAATTTGCCAGCAGGTGTGCATGATGCCCATTCGAGCGAGCTTCAATGAAAAAAAGTAAAGTCACTAAATTCGCCATTGAAGAAGACTAGCATCAAATAGCTTTATTACTCCGATTAAAAATAAAATACTACAGAAGAAGATCTGCATATTTTATGTTTATTTTGAAAATTTCGTGTTAATTTTATGAAACCACTCGTTAATATACATCCCTATTTAACTAGAATCTGATGTCCTTATATGCCCCATTATAATATTTGTAAGTGCGAGTATAAATCGAATATTTGCTTAATTTTTTAATCAGGCTATTTGTGTAACCCCTCAAGTTTGATACCCATAAGCAGCAAGTTCTTTTCCAAACTAAAATCTAGTACTAATAACTATACACGTGAATATGGCTCACTGATCTCAAAACAAGGACTGGATCGAGCGTCTATGCATAAATGAAGCGAATGGCGGCCATATTATTGTAACCACCGCAGTCATGTTGCTGACATATTAGGAGAGGTTCTTAATTTTTTTTGGAGTTTGGTTGGAATAAAAAGATATTGCCTTGAAAGAAATGGGTTATTAGTGGCCTCTCTTCTTTCTGAAATGTGCCAGTGAATAATTAATGATGTCACATCAATATGACACCTTAAGTCTCAATTGTCTCACGTTCAAAATTTTCTAAAACTCATTAGAAGAAGTCTGGGAAGCTACTGTATATCTTTCAAGTTACGTACAAGAAGAAATTTGCTTCACAGCAACACTAATTTAATCAGTAAGGAACGTGATAGATTTGAAAATCTCTCCTCATTATAGATATTCTGGCTTCAAAATTAATTCCGTAAATTAGAAAGGTTGCTCTATTCATTCCTACTTTTGAGATCAGCGGGCAGGCTAATATTGTGAACGTGAAAGTCTAATATCCAAAAGCAGTAAGTTTCTTCTGCACCCATGGGGTAAACAATGCTGTGTTGGTGTATACTCCATAACGATCTGGTTGTGCGCAACCTATGCCCCAAGACACCAATCCACCAAGGATAAACCTGGAGTTGCTGCGATCAAAACACGTGAGCGGACCACCACTATCTCCTTGACATGCGTCCGTACCTCCTTTCTTATATCCGGCACAAAACATGTTACTCGTGACGTTTCTGGGATTCAGCAAGCTTGCGTACGTCTACAAAATGACATAAAATGTTAGAAAAATTGGAGATAACTGTATCATATTTTGGCAAACTCTACAGTCATGATGTTATCTTTAGTGATATGCGATATCCACTTTTTTAGTCGATGGATTACCGGTTCGATATTTGCATTTTTTTCCCATTTCGATATCAATACCGATATTTCTGCAATGTAAGCATATAACAATAAGCGATAGAACAGAATGCACTTTTCCTGTAACTGACAAAATATCATTTAGTCAAATGTGGCAAATCTCTAATCATCGGTAGTATAAGAACTACAGTAACTAAACTTTCACTACATTTCGTACTTGTCTGCAGTGTGTGCTTGACCAAAACGCAATGTCGATACTACTTGTTCTGGACCTAGGTATCGTATTTTTCCAATACTCCTACAAACGAAATTTTGTTATTATAGGCACTATACCTACACTGGCATACACCAAGATTACATCGAATATTTGGTGTCGATATCCGCCCAAACGCATGTTCGACCGTAATCTTCATTCACGCATTCTTTTCTAATGAAAGTGAAGTAAAACTGTAACTATTCCAACAGTTTCACTTCACGGATAAAAATGATGGCCTCCAGTTGGTAAACAAAGTCAGAGACACAAGTGAAGCAAAATAAAACTGGATTCCAAACATTAGCAACGGTTTTTATATCACGTCCGCGTCGTAGATTTGTTGTATCTTATAAGCTCACTAACACTCAATAATTAATTAATATTTAATAACACTTCTGCGCGTGTTTTACTACTTCAAAAACATGGAGAAAAAACGGAAGACCATCGTATTTTCAAGCTAGTAACATTTTTCAATCAACATTTTAGGACCTTTAGTATAAACCAAATATGCAGTGGTAAGGATTAGAACATTACCTTCACACACGTATTGAAATTTACTATCTTCACATTAGCCTGTAAGAGTCTCGCAGATTTCACGCCATTTTGTGTAACACGTCCAAAGCCTGTGACCGTGCATAAATCATTTTCTGTTAAAACTGTCCCGCTTCCCGGCATGCAGAGTGGACGCACATTGTCGTTATACACGGCGTATTTATCCAATCTTATTATGGCAATGTCCTTGTCATATGGCGCATCAACTCCATAGTCCTCATGAACAATTATTTTTGTGCATCTAAATCTTTGCTCGTGTCCAGATTTCGTAGATTGGTCTACTTCCCCGATCACGATATACAACTCATTTGGGAACGACTGCGATACAAAGTGGGCAGCGGTAACTACCCACTCGTCATTTATCAGCGCACCACCACACGTTATATTACAATGGGCGCATTTTTTAATCCCGACTTGCCACGGCCAACTCCCAGCTGCTGCTCTTGTGCCGTTTACTACCCCACCGATTCTGCCTTTGGTTCCACACCTTCATAAATCAACAGCGGGTCTTTTTTAAAAATAGAAAAGACACCTTTTGGCGTGACATCATGGTGAAAGAATCCAGCTTTAATATTAATTAAATTAACTACTGTAAGTAAACGAATTACAATTTCAACGTAAAATGACCGATGTTTTTGACAAAAAGCGCGTGCACTATTTATGTTCGAAAAGTTATAAACATGACGAGTCGTGAAAGAACAGATGTTTATGGGAAGGGGAGAGAAAATACACTTGCTATACTTATCGCGGCATATCCCCGATAAAATATAATTAAAACCAAATCCGCCAAATCAGCGGCGGCGGCTATACAATATATTATAGGCATTACCTGAACAATAAGCGACTGTAAACAGTGTGATTTATACCTAAATGCTTTCTGTCAATCGTACAGCTTTAGCTAAGGTAGTTTTATTGGCCTAGGCTTGTTTACTCAAAGAAGTAAACGCTTTTGACGAGCTCTTTGGTTATTTATAGAACTACATGACTCGACGTTGATTACATAACATACGGTTATTCGGGTCAAATAGGGGTTACGAAAAAATTCGTCAAAAATTCAATTCTACGTTGCCCCAAAATTTTACTTGATCAATAGCAAGCAAAAGCACATTTCTTTGACCTGGTTGTGAATTTTTTGTCTGAATCGATGTAACAATGGAGATATTCGCTGCCTAATATGACATATAATAAAGAGGTTCAAAAATAAAAAAACATTAAGAAAATCTGTAAAATATTCACTTTTTACAGAAATGTCTCTAAATTTCGTCTGCTACTCAATAAATAACTCTAATTTATAAAACGAAATCACATTTCGTGAAATATTCCCATTAACGTGCAAAATAGAGCGATTTTGGTAGTGCCGTAAAATTACCTCTAAAAACCGAAAGTGGCCTGGGAAAACCAATTTCGACGTCTCTCTCCTTCAATATTTATCCGATCGAAATAAAACTTTCACAACATTAATACTTCATATAGGCCTACATTCTGACAAAGTTTGAAAGATTTTGAATTTTTTCATTTTACACGTCTTACCTGACTATTACAGACAACCGCTCTTAAAAACATTAAAAATTTTCAATTTTCAAATATTCAAAAATATTCTTATTAAGATTATGGTGTTACAATGACAACTACTACTTTAAAAACGTCATGTTCGGAAACTATAAAGGTTTTGCCAGCAACTGAGGCGAGGGATTTCTGCATGCATGTACTTCTAGTATATATCTTGAAATTCATTAACAATCTTCTTCACTTTATTTGTTTCGACCTACTCACAAGTTGTTTTTCGAAACTGTAAACTAATAACTGCTAATGCAGGTGTTGAACTATAATGAGAACTAGATATCCATGTGCTTTGTATTATCTTTAAAGTCTGAATTCTAATTAAGATATGACATATAATTAAGTACTTAATAAAACACGACGGTGTTATTTTTCTCCTTCATTTTTTTAGAAGAAGTCCTTAATGATGGATGTCCTCACTTTTGTCAACCTCATTGTCAACGTATTGTTCTTTTTCTCGGGAATATGTTTAAATTCCTTGGTCATACTCATGCAGCTTGTGGAAGTCTGCGTTATTGCGAAAGAAATTATGTTACTTCATGATGATAGTTTTGTCCTGTTGCGATCTGCTTTCGGTTTTAACAAATCATCCATCGAAGGCTCTTACTGCGATGCAATGGTTGAGTGACACATCTAAAGAATACTCTAGTTGGTTGGATATTCCCTTAAGTTTATCAAATACATTTCTTGCTTTTTCTATGCTCGCTTTACGATTACTTTCTCTATCACAATGCAATTCCAAAGGGTAAAGAAATTGTATTGGTCTTTCCATGAATGATTTTCCTGCACGTAGTCTAACTCCACGAACCACTCCGTCTCTTCCGGGTATAAGTTGTTCAACAATCCCAATTTTCCACAGTCTACGATTCTTTTCATCACCTTTGATTAACATAACATCACCCTTTCGTAGCTCTCTCTCTTTCCCGTCATGTGTTAAATTATGCCTTTCGCGAAGTGCTCTCATGTATTCTCGTTTCCATCGTTGCCATAACGCGTCCTTACATTTCTTCAAATATCTCGCCCTCTTTCGCAGGTCTCGTTCTTCTATTTCCTCAGGTGATAACTCCATAAGATAATTGGCTTTACCGAAGATCATCATGTTCGGCGTCAACACGGGAAGTTGAATGTCATCCTCGCAGTACGATAGTGGTCGATTGTTCAATACAAGCTGGATATCTAGCATCACGTCTTGCAATTCTTTGAAGGTAAGTTTGGCCGATCCTACGACCTTGTAAAGAGCTTGTTTCACTATGCTGACCATTCGTTCGAACATTCCACCCCACCAGCTAGCTTTGCTTAGATTGAACTGCCATTTCACACCATGTTCACTCAGATAGCCTTGTAACTTTTCGTTCAGTACGACTTTCTTGATCCATTTGGCAGCAGCCACGAAAGTCTTTCCATTATCGGATATGATCTTCTTCGGACGACCTCTTGCTGCGATAAATCTTTTAAACCTCATCAGGAACTCTTCACAGCTCATGTTTGGCAGAATCTCCAAGTGAAGTCCTCTAGTTAAACTGCAGGTATAGATGAGTATATATGACTTACGCTCAGCTCCCCCATTTCCCTTGTAATAGATTGGTCCGGCATAATCGACACCAGTTACTTCGAAGGGGATTTCACCTTCAGTTCGTTCTTTTGGAAGATTCCCCTGAGGTGGAGCGGGCATTGGCGTTGTGTAAATCGTTTACACCCATAGCATTTACCAATGACTTTCTTCACTAGACTTCGCAATGCAGGGATCCAATAATCGTCGCGTACTTTACTCATGGTTAACCCAACCCCGCCGTGCAGAGTGTAAAGATGTGCACGTTCGACAATCTTCAGAGATAGGAGGTGATTTGATGGCAAGTAAATTGGATAAAACCCTTGAATTCTCCCTTTACACACGTAAATGCCTTCTTCATTTTTCTGGAGATTCAATCGTTGAGAATGTTCTTTGAACTGAACAGAATTTTCACCGTCCTCTTGAGCTCGTTTAATCAGAAATTTCAATTGTTCCTCAGTCTCTTCAGTCGTTAGTGGTCCGCTAATTCTTTTACTTCTTCGACAATTGACAGCAAATCTTTTGATCCATGCCAAAATCCGCACAGTTTTCCATAGGGTTGTTTTCGCTAAAAGGTCGTCAAAGACATCTGATTTTCTTTGAACAGCAGCTTTCATCACGGTCTTGATTGTGCGACTTTCGGACTCCGACACATCAGAAGATTTAGCAACAATCTGTTCCGGCCAGCTGTCGGAATTGTTCAGCCATGAAGGACCGCTCATCCACATTTCGTTAGTTTCTAAGTCACTTGATCCCCGACTACCGATATCCGCAGGATTCTCTTTACTAGGCACGTATTTCCAAACGATTTCTTCCTTCTCGTTTATTTTCTCTACCCGATTGGCCACGAATTGTTTATATCTTCCCTGACCTTGGATCCATTGAAGACAGACAGTAGAATCAGACCATGCGAATACACCGGCAATTTGTATATGACTAAGAACTTTGAATGTGTTGCGTAGGAGGTTACTTAGCATGTGGCAACTCA